GGGACCTAGATGCCAATCTAGTAGCACGCTTAAATGCATGCAGTCGGGGCACCAGGGAAAACAAAGCTCGTCAAAGTAGTTGCCATGTAAATATTTGAAGAAAAGACAGAGGGAAGCCACATCACGTTTGTAAGAAACTGACTGGTGTCGAGATTCTAAGTCAGGATCGATTTCATTGCAGACCCTTCTTTGAATTTGTCAAGAACCTCGAGATGAATGAATTTAAGGACGCCAACAGTTTTCAAAACATGGATAAATGGTAGATTTGTAAATGTACAAAATGAATTCTGACGAGAAAATCCTTCCGGCACGACATCATTATTATTATTATCATTTTTATTTTCTTTGATTTCTGGCGTTTACACATTTCTTTCCTGGTCCCGCCCAGGGACCTAAGGTTAGAAATGGCATCATGACACTTTCCACTGATAAAAAAAAAATTACATAGATAAAGCCCTTCGTAAAGTGTGGGCTGTACTTGTCAGAACAATTTTTTGTATCTCTTTCAGGCATGGACTTCCAGGAATCTCTTCAATTAATCTACTGGAATCTTTCCCAATCAATCCGAGGGCCCCAACTACAACAGGGATTACTGATGTTCCCATGTGCCACATTTTTGAGATTTCTATTTCAAGGTCCTTGTATTTTGACAGCTTTTTGAATATCTTCAAAGATACATTGCAGTCCGCAGGGACTGCCATATCAATAAGGAGGTACTTTTCATTATTATTATTATTATTATTATTATTATTATTACGATAAACGTAATTGTTAGAAGATATTTGTGTTTGAGCCGACAAATCTGTTATTTTTTAATAGGGAAATTAATGTCAACCGGCCTAGATCTAGAAGTGCTTCTCAAGAGTAATGTATAATTCACAGGTGTCGAACTTTCAAATTAGAGAAACCATTCTTTTAGCCAAAGTGTACCAACAATATATCTTATATATATATATATATATATATATATATATATATATATATACAGAGAGAGAGAAAGAGGTAGAGAAACAGAGATATAGACAGAGGGAGAGAGAGATAAAGAGAGGACAGACACAGACAGAAAGAGAGAGAAAAAGAGAGAGACAGAGATACGATGCTGTCAAAAAGTTCGCGAAATTTAAACAGATTGAGCGTTCGCTTCAACTGTCAATTTCTCGTTTTATATTCACTGAACTTTTGGGTAGTGCATTTTATAGTTATGATACAGATTTGGTTTGATATACGTGCGAATTCAGCTACGTACGAATTCAGATTCACACACAGATATCTAAAAGCATAAAAACGTGTTCTTGGATCATTCTGTTTTTAGTGGAAGCAATTGAAAGCGAAACCAAACGAATGCTGCATCAGAAATGAATTGAAGTTCAGGCACACACACATGCGCGCACTCATACACACGCACACACACACGCACGCACGCGCGCACACCACCTTTACGCATAATATTCAATATTTGGAGTCCACGTGTACATTCTGATAGCGTCGATTCTCCCTTCCCATCATTCTCTTCGTTTCGCGTTGCTCCGACTGTACGAATCGCAAGAGGCTCTTCATTCTTCTTCACACATAAATCCAATCGATTCTCGTCCTCACTTGCATTTGCTTTACCGTACGCGATCCGCCTAACTCGGAATTAAACGAAAAGAAGAAAAAAAAAAAAGATCACTTTCAAATTGAGTAAGTTAACAATTTTATTTATCTATACGTTTTCGTCTGTGATTGAGTAGTATTTATTTAATTTTTTTTTTCAGGCATTGATTTTAGCTTGTATTGTGATGATGACAAGTTTTTTTTAATTTTTTTTTACTTTTTAAAATACTTTTGGCATTCTTGTTTATAAACGCGGTTCACTCTTTTTAATTTTTTGACTGACAACTTGGGCTTATCGAAAGTGCGACGGTTTTTATAACCTCAGAATTTTTTATAAACAGTTTTTATAAACATTTTAAGTCTTGTCTTCACATATCCTTACCAAAAACATAACTACTATAATTCTGTTTTGTTTATATTTCCTGAAAGCTATAAGTTGAAAATTCATTATTTTATAAAAGCCTGTCTTAAAGACTGCATTGTGTGTGTGTGTGTGTGTGTGTGTGTGTGTGTCTGTATGTGTACGCGGGCATGTGTGCATAATATCTATCTATCTACATATAGCAAATATTTAAAGACATATCTATATACATAAACAACATAAACAAATGCTAGCACGCAGACACACACAAAAACACACGCGCGCACACACGGACACACTTACACACACAAACAAACAAACACACTCTTACACACACACTCTTACACACACACAGTCACACACACACACTTACACAATCACAGACACACACATATATATATATATTCGATGCAATTCCCAAAAATATCAACGTGGTGCCAGTTTAGGGTATAGAAAGAGTAATTTTGATTGTTTATATATACATATATATTTGACCACTTCGACGTAGTTTAATGGATGGCAAATTTTTTCGCTAAATCAATTACAACTGAATAGTGAAATTACTCATTCACTTGTGGTCTACGCTTAATTTTATATATATATATATATATATATATATATATATATATATATATATATATATATGTGTGTGTGTGTGTGTATGCGTGTTTAATTATATATATATAATATAATATATAATATAATATATATATATATATGTGTGTGTGTGTGTGTGTGTGTGTGTGTGTGTATGTGTGTGTGTGTGTTTAATCATATATATATATATATAACATAATTTATATATATATATATATATATATATATATATATATATATATATATATATATATATAAACAGGTGCGCATGTTTGTACCTGTGTTAAAGCTGTGGGGCTTTGATCGGGCCTTAATGAAAACAGCTGCGGAAATGGAATCGATTATGCAAGTTCGAATTTTGGCGGGGATTGTTACTATTCACTTTCAGACAAAGTGTAAATATAATTCTTCCTGTTCTCTGTCCCATCACCAGAAATACGAATGAAAATGTCTTGCCACTGTTATGTCAAGAATAGAATAATGTATCTGTAAATAATAATTTTGGCAAAGCACTCACTCATAACAACTTTATACTGCCTGGACAGCAGTTGTAAAACAATGTTTCACCCATTGTCAACCTTGACTGATGTCTGTTTGCTGTATGCAGGTTTCTACTTGCGTGTCTATGTGCGAAAGGCAAGCACTTCTTTTGAAATTTCTAAAATGATTTACCTTTTGGAAATCTTTTACAAAAAGACATTTTAATTAAAAATATAAATATCTAAGTAGATACATATGTGTGTGAGGGGTTATATATATATATATATATATATATATATATATATATGTATAAACATTTGTGTTTTTACACACACATATATATATATATATATATATATGAAAGGTAACAAATTTGTTGGTATATAATACAAGTGGGTTCTAGTAATATAAAATATTAAAACTGATTCACAAAAAGAGCTCAATATATTTATTACTGCAGAGAAAATAATTAATAAACAATAAAATCCAAAATCAACTCATATGGGGAATAGCCTATTTCGGCAGACGAAAATATCGGTCGTTTGTCTTTTCAACCGCGATGTGGACTGAGTTCGCGTCAGAAAAAGAAATTTAACTGTGAAAGCTAAAAAAAGAAAAAAAGAAAAGAAAAGAAAAGAAACAGTCGAAAAACTAATACAGACTTTATCCATTTCAATGTTTCAGTCAGACGAAATGCATGAGACAGGGGTCAGGGGAGGGTGGAAAGTATTTGTTTTAAAGGGAAGAATTTTTATAAAATTAAACCTGAATATTAACCTTATGACATTAATCTTGGATTATACGACAAATAAAATATAAATTTTAAAATTAAAAGTGGAATAAAGATAGGTTTAAAAATCTTTTAATATATATTACTGGAAAGAGAGATCTTAGAGTAGGGATAAGTTTATAAATTATAAATATATTGTAAAGAGGTTATAGGGGCGGGATAATATAGAAATTAATTATACTTACAGAGAGGAGTGTCAATATATATATATATATATATATATATATATATATATATATATATATATATATATCGATTTACCGGCTAATACGGCACATGATTAAAGCAGGTCTTTAAGGAAATAACATCCATTGTAAATTATCGAAGACCTACAACTCTCCATTTCGGAGGTCAGCAGGCGGATCACTGAATACTATGTAATATTTTCAATTTGTTTTCCTCGATGTAGATGTGTTACTTTGCGTCGGCAAACCCAGCAATTACACATTATATATATATATATATATATATATATATATATATATATATATATATATATATAGCGAGAGAGAGAGGATTAATTCGGCAGTAATAATTTTGAATGTATATTTCGTTAAACATGACATGACTAATAAAGTTTGTTTATTCTTTATTAAATTTACTTGCGGACTGGATTTTTTTATATATATATATATATATATATATATATATATATATATATGTATAATTGGATAAGTGGGCACAGAACGGGACAGTCTGTATCCTGCTTGGAGGCAATCTTCAAGCCGTTTTCATTATATTTTTCTTGTTTGCTTGAAGGTGTTCTCTATTTCTGGGCAGAACGTGGGTAACTATTGCCTGATGATTGCGAACTAGCATGAAACAGACGGTCGCCGCTGGATGTTGATCTCAGTGTCCACTTTTATATTTGCGTGGGCTTTAGACTTGATATCTACCGATGAATATGACATACCTTAAAACTATATTTTTAGTATCTGATATATATATATATATATATATATATATATATATATATATATATATATATATATATATACATATATATATATATATATATATATATATATATATATATATATATATATATGTATATATTTATAATATATAATTAATAGCTCTGTTTTATTGCATCGACTAATATATATATATATATATATATATATATATATATGTGTGTGTGTGTGTGTGTGTATACATCGAGAAAAAGCTTAACACAAC